AAATCTATACCTAGAACAACAAGCTATTGTGAGAACAGAGCTAGGAAACACTGCATATTTAGAATTAAGAAAAGTGTGCATCCGTATTGTATCCTTTCTCCATACTTACTCGATACGTATGATGAGCAAATTATTAGAAAAGCTTGACTCTGTGAAGAAGAATGTGACATCAGGATTGGAGGAAGACTCATCAATAAACTTTGCAGATGACACAACCTTATTTGATGAATGTGAAGAGGACTTGAAGTACTTGATGCAGGACATCAAAGACTGCAGCCTTCAAAATGGATTATATATATCTCAGTGTCAAGAAAGCAAAAATTCTCACCACTGGACCAGTAGGCAACATTGTGATACATGCAGATAAGCCTGAAACTCTCAATGACTTTATCTTACTTGGATCCACAGTCAGTACACTTGGTACTAGCAATCAGGAGGTCAGGAGGTGTATTGAACTGGAAAAGTGTTCAGTTTACCTTATTGAGGAGTAGTGTTGTTGTTGTTGTTGTTATGTGCCATTGAGTTTCTTGCGACTCATGGCGACCCTGTGTACAACAGCCCTAAACTCTGCACTGTCCTGTACCAATTGCACTGTCTCTGACACTCCCATCCCAATTAACCCAGTCACCGAATCAAACCACCTCATAGAGGGTCTTCCCCTCCTGCGCTGTCCCTCCACCCTCCCAAGCATGATGTCCTTCTCCAAGGACTGGTCCCTCCTTACAACATGTCCAGAGTATGTTAGACGGATCCTTGGAATCATTGCCTTCAAGGATTATTGAGGAGTACTATGTTATTTTGAGGACTTAGGTGCACTGGATTCAGGCCATGGCCTTTTCAGTCACTTACTATGTTGCTGAGAACTGGATAGTGAATAACGATGACAGAAGAAGAATTGATGCCTTTGAGTTGTGATATTGGAGAAGGGTATGGGCTGCCAAAAGAACAACCTAGGTCTTGGAAAATGTGCAGCCAGAGTGCTCCTTGGAGGCAAAGATGATACAGCCTCATCTCACATACTGTGGGCATGTTGCTAAGAAAGGCTCTTTTTTGGAGAAGTGTGTCATGCTTGGGAAAGTGGAAGGATGATGGAGAGGAAAACCCTCAACCTGGTGGATTGACACAGTGACTGCAGTAATGGACTACAGTTTGTCAGAGATTGTGAGGATGGCACAGAATAAGTTAGGGTTCAGCCCTGTTGTTCATAGGATCAGTATGAGTCTTACTTGACTCAGTAGCACCTAACAACAACAAAACAACAACAGCACAACAACAGTGCAATTAAGAAATCAATCTGTTATCACTAAGTACATTTCTCCTGCATTACTCTGGTTATCAGAAGGATCAGAATAAGATACTACTTTTTACTTGGTTTTTAAAAAGTGATAATGTAGGTATTTCACTCCAATTTATTATTTTTTTAAAAATGAGAAAATAGGTTAAGATTTTCTTTGGAGATGCAAAAGTCATAGTGTTAATCCTCTCCTCCCCTCCTCCAATAATACTATAAGGTATAAGATCTCCAAAAATGAAATCTCTTGCTTGGAAGCAGGAGTGGCATCCACTTCCATAATAGCTTGCCTCTGGAAAACCTATGAACCTGGAGAAAGAAAGTTATACAGATATAAGAAAGTTATACAGATGTCCAGGACTTTTCGTTCATAGGGTAGCTATGAGTCGCTAATGACTCGATGGCACTTAACAACAACAACATAGGATCTCCAAAAAAGAATGCATATTTGAATGGGGGAAAACCTATTTATTCTAAATATTTGTAAAAATAAGAACTCTGATAATGTTTCCCTCAGTAATCTCACTGCCCTCAAGAAAGAAGCAGCAAGGAGTCCAGTGAGTTCTTTAGGGCCAGCTGTTAGTGTTGGTTGCCAGCCTTGACTCTGATATCCTGAGACTTTGCTGAACTAGAACGACAATGCTATGGAGCTAGAGGTGAGGGCCTTTGCTCAGGCTTGCTAGAGGGCTAGGGGAACATCCCATAATTGGCAGGACTGAAAAGAACTTGGGAATCTCAGAACATTTAATTGTGCTTATGGGAAACCTATACTTGGACCAAGAGGCAGTTGTCAGAACAGAGCAAGGAGACACTACATGGTTCAAAATGAAGAAGGGCATCCGTCAGTGATATCTGTATACAGAACAGATAATCCGAGACTCTGGGCTGTATGAGGAGAAATGTGGCATCAGGATTGGTAAAAGAGTCATTAACAACTTGCATTATGCAGATGACACAACCCTGCTTGCTGAAACTGATGAGGACCTGAAGCGCTTGCTGCAGAAGGTCTGGGACTGCAACCTTCAATATGGATTGAAGCTCAACATCAAGAAAACAAAGATTCTCATCACTGGGCTAGTTGGCAGCATCAGTATGGATGGTGAAGAGATTGAGATAGTTAACAGTTTTAGTTTACTTGGCTCCTCAGTCAATACTCTTAGTAACAGCAGCCAGGAAATCAGGAGACGAATTGAGGGACCTGTGAAGTACCTCTCAAGAGTACTGAAGAGCAATGACATCAGGCTGGAGACGAAGGTGTGCCTGATTCAGGCTATAGTCTTCGCAGTTATGTGCTATGCATCGGAGAGTTGGATAGTGAATAGGAATGACAGAAAGAGAATTGATGCCTTTGAGCTGTAGTGCTGAAGAAGAGTGTTGAATATACCATGGACTACTAGGAGAACAAACAGGTTTGTCCTGGAGAGGGTGAAGCCAGAATGCTCCTTGGAGTCAAGGCTTCTGAAGCTTCCTCTGACATACTTTGGCCATGTTGCAAGGAGGGACTGATCCTTGGAGAGGGACATTATGTTTGGGAGAGTGGAGGGACAGCGCAGGAGCGGAAGACCCTCGATGAGATGGATCGATTCTGTGAGTGGAGTGGTGGGAATGAGTGTGTTTGAGATGGCGAGGTTGGCACAGGATCGAACGGCGTTTAGGGCTCTTGTACATAGGGTCGCTATGAGTCGCAAGCGACTCGATGGCACATAACAACAAAAAGAACTTTGTAATGTTGGCCCAGAGCTGCAATGCTGAAAATCAGAGCACTTGCAGGCGTGCATGCCTAAGCAGCTGTCCTAACTTAAGCACTGTATCCCATGTCAAACCCAAATGTAACCTGTTACTCCCTTAACAGAGCTCTGGTGGCCTAGTGATAAGAAACTGCACTGTAGTCCCAAAGGCATCCGGTTCAAATCTATCAGCTGCTTTAGAGAAAAAGGATGGGCAGTCTCCTTTTGTACGATTAACTGATCTAAAGATCCGCTGGTATGTTAGTGCTGGCTTGATTGAAGCTCAGTGGTACACACCACCACCACTCCACTAAAATGGACTTCCTAATTCTTAATTGTTTGCTCCTGAAATCTCTTTGAAATCACTGATTACAAACGATTCCTTCTCTTAAACCAGTGGAATAGGCAGTGTGGCAGTACAGCTGGATGAAGAGGTGAGCTGTTCACAGACTCACCCAACCAACATCAACTGGACTCCAAGGCCCTGTGTTGTTCTCTGGAGAGGACATTGTGTCTGTATGCCGTGTCTGTTTACACTTCATCGAGAGAACAGCCCATGATGACTAAGTGGAGGACTCGGGAGAAACATCAGCAGCCATCTGGTCAGCCACAGTAACCTGCTGCTGTTCTTCCTGGTTCACCCCTGCCTCCCTCCAAGTCATTTTCTGCACAGGAGAAAAACAATGTCACATGTCAGCGCCCCAGAGGTGTTAACCTGACCACCTAAGCATGTAGACAGCCAATTTTCTTCTCCTTGCAGCACTAATGGGTCCCTTCTTAACACTCTTGGGTATATATACAGTCTTGATTTGCTAAAAGGATGAAAATGTTAGCCATTATGTCAACTATAAAGAATTTTTGTCTCTTTTTTTAAGCTTGTTTTTAAATGAAATTATCTGGTGTAGAATTTCATGAAAGAAAATAATGATATTTTATAAATAATGTTATCAGTCTCTTTTAGCTACTTTTTCTTAAATAGTGTATTATTTCTGTAAACTTTTTTTAGGCTTTGTAAAAAGAGTGTAGGCTGCATGGATATGGAGGGGTCTGATTTCTGCTAACTCCACAACTCCTTCTTGTTGCTATCAGCAAACGCCCACAAAACAAAACTAATTCCTAGAAGGTCAGCCATGGTCTCCCCTGCTCCAAAAGCTACTTCTGCTAACTCTCACGCCAGTATCACCATTCCAAAATCCGTTACAGTGACCACACAGACTTGACAGAACCATATGTATGGTGATGGGGTTTATTAGGGAAGTTAACAGGTTATAATTCAGAATGACACAGCAAGATACAATCTCTCATTCCAGAGAGCATCTCAAGTATGATCTCAGACCCTTTTGTCCTTTAGTTTCACAGCTTAGGTCTATTCTGTGGAGTTCTAGTAGTCCTGCAAATTATGGTATCTTTTATCAGTCCTCCAGCAAGCTTGGGTGAAGGCCCCTGTCTCTGGTTCCATGAGACAGCAGTCTCAAGCCAGCTCTGTCTCATGTTCATCTCTGGTTCTCTGCAGTGGTGGCTGCTGTTGCTCTTGTGTAGATCCTGGTCTGGCGGTGCAGGAATTTCTAGCCCTTATGGATGCTTTTCCTTGTTGGTATTAAGATTCCTGATTTCTGCCAACAAAATGACTTTATTTAAATCTATTGGGATGGTGAGACTAGCCAGTCCCCTTGTAAATAGACACCTAACACACCCTATTTGTCTAATCTTGCCCCACTGATACAGCAAAGTCAAAGTCAATGACGAGGAAAGTAATTTTGAACAATAAACCTTTGACACCACAGTCTGTCTTCTTGCACAGTGTCTGGGACAAGGTTCTCTGTAGCAAGTGAATGCTTAATAATGATGCTCAACAAATAAGTGAGATGCTTTGCTTAAAGCTGAAAGGAAATGGGAGTTCAGTAGCATAAAAATATTTATGTGGTTTCAGTCCACTTTAAGGTTCCATAAGGTCCTACTCATTTTATTTATTTATTTTACAGAAATGCTTCCATCATTTCTTCAGAAATCTGAAGTTGTCTCTGAAGCATCCAGAGAAACTTGTGTAGCTTTGAGTGATTGTCTTAATCTCTTCACTAAACAAGAAGGGGTAGGTAGTTTGAAATGGAATTCTTGAAAATAATATGTATATGTCATAAACTTGACCACACAGTAATGCATTACCTTAAAATTCTTCCAGAGAGAAAATGGTATTAACAAGGAAAAGAAAAACTTAATTTTTTTCTTCTAAAACTTAAAATATATTTACATTTGTTTGAATAGAATAATTCTGCTTGATAACTTCTTTTTATATCTCTTGAGTTTACTTATGTGATTGTTTAACAGGTATGTTTGAAGGTGACCTGTCAGCATTGTTATCCAATAAGATGGAAGTAAAAATATTTTAGAATTAAAAATATACGATAAAGACTTAATATTTTAATTTAAAAATAGAGTCTACCATCCTTTCCTATGTAAACTGATCTCACCGGAGACCTTTTACATTTGTGTGGTAATTGAATTTTATTGAATCAGAAGTGACTCATAGCTGACCTTCCATGGCATTTCAAAAGCTGTTAATTGCACAGGAGAAGATTGCCCATCTTTCTCCCATGGAGCACTTGAGAGATTTGAACCACATGACTTTTGGTTGGCAGCTCAGTTTCTTATCACTCGGCCACCAGAGCTTCTATAAATCTTGTCTAATCTATTATAATTTAATTTATTTAATATATCTATTGACTCAAACTGCATGCCTTCAGGATTGCAGCGTAGGTTCTTGCCACTAGGCCACCAGATTTGGGATGGATGGATGGATGGATGGATGGAGATATAGATAAAGATATATTTATCTCTATCTCTATCTCTATCTCTATCTCTGTCTATCTCATCTATATCCATATCTCTAACTATCTTTCTATGATTTTTAAATGACTTTTTCTCTTGCATTATTCCTTTCAAAATTTTTCTATTTGCTCTTCATGTTATGAGGAGGAAGAGTGTTGTACTTACTCATTAGTAATTCTTCTAATGACTAAAAAGATGTGTGTAAAGATGTGTTTTGATTGTGTGAAAAAAATTTCTTCTGCTTTATGTATTACTTTTTTTTTGTTTAGTTGATTGATGGGTTTTGATTTTGTTTTGGTTCTGGGGACTTTTTTCTTCTCATTTTTTTGTGATTTTAATGCAAGGCAAGTGGCAGTAGACTTTGCTTCTCTATTATGCTTATTTCTGGATTTCTATATTAACCTTTTCACCTGCATTTCTGATTTTGGATGGCTCTTGTTGTTAATTACCATTGAGTTGATCCCGACACATGCTGCTATCTTAGCGTTCAGAGTAAAACCGTTTGATAGAGTTTTCAGGGCTGTGACTTTTGGGTGACAGATTTTCAGCTCTGTTTCCTGTTCTGTCTCTGGGTTTATTCAAACTTGTAATCTTTCAATCAGTAGTCAAGAATTTAACCATCTGCACCACTACTGCAGAGTAAATAAAAGAGCTCTGATAGGTCCTAGAGAGCTGCACTGCTATCCAAAAGGCCATACCTCTAACAGTGTAGGTCCACCAGCAACTCTGTGAGAGGAAAATGGGTAGTCTCCTCCCATGGTGATTTACAGCCTCCAGAAATCTGCTGGAGAGTCAACTATGAGTTGGTTCCTTAATATTTAAGATTAAAATGCAAAATTTCTTACTCTTATTTATCTACACATTTTAGTTGGAGATTAAGTTTTGGTAAAACAAGGTAGATGAAAATAATTTTAATTCCCCGATATTAGAGATCGGAAATTTAATTTTCCCACATTTAGAATTTAAGTCTTATGCATATAAATATTACTAAATGCTATGCTTCTTATGTTGTATCACAAAGTGAACATTAGTTTATTGGGAAAATGAAAAAAAAAAAGATGTAAAGAATAATCTGCATTCGTTTAAAGTAAAGTTATAGAACTTCTATAACAGAATTTGATTGAACCCCAAAGGGAAATAATTGTTCATTCTAATAGTTTGAGAATGTCCCTTCACAGCATTTCTATTTTTGGTAATTTGCAAATCTCTCATTCTAGTTTATTTAAATGAGGAATGGTTTAATGTTTCAGTTAAATCTGACTGGAATGGCAATGTTACAGAACATCTTTGAAATGAGCAAATTAGGATTTCATGGATTCCTGCATTATTTTTAGTAGATTGTTAAACCAAATTTTATTCCCATCTCTTATACGGCACTTCTGTTGGCTAGTGCATGGAAAGTTTTGCTACCGAGACAAAGGTGAGTGATTTTAATCTGTGTCCCTCAAGCCTGATTGTAATTCTTTTTGGTCAAATATTCTTCTATGTGGTATAGCCCTGGTCTGTCTATTTGCTGTATAGAAGTAACTCCTGGTTGCTGTGAAGCTGAACACTGTGACACTGATGAGTCAAATGTGATAATGGTTACCCATGGTGGACAGTGTTTTGGTGGAGCTCCCCAATTAAAACAAGCTTGGAAGCAGGAGTGGCATCCACTTCTGATGTAGCTTGCCTCTGGAAACTCTAATAACATGGAGAAATGATGAAAGTTATACAAATGTTCAGGTCTTTCATTCATAGGGTCGCTATGTGTCGTCTATGACTCGATGGCCTTTAACAACAACAGACAGCACCTGTTGTATAGTTAGGTATTTTTTTTTCCTTCCTCTGTGTGTGTGTGTATAAATAAATATAAATACATTTTCAGTCTTGGGACGCATGGTTTTAAGGCTGGCCACAAGATTAGAAGCAATGTGTTAATGAATTGGGTTGTATTCAGTTTCCTGAGAAGCCACCAATGGTCAGCTTCTCTCTGTGAAAAATCTCACTCAGCAAGTATATTAGCCTAAAGTTAATTGTTTTGTGAACATGGGCTTGGCTGTGAAATGAATAATTGTGTTTTTTCATCCTCATTACTTATTGAACAACAGTGTGCTTATTCACTTCTCTGAGTTTTAATGGCTTCTTTTTTCATATAGGGCCACCATACATGGAAGCACTGGTTTTGTAATCTGATAGGATTGTTTTGCATCTCAGTTTGTCTCTAACCACCTGTGGGATGCTGGGCAAGTTTCTATAAAGTGGAATTACGTAAACATTTCAGGTCCGGTGATCAAATGTGTGCAGATGAATACACATTATACTTAGCATATGGCCTTGCTCATGGGCTCTATCCAGTACGTGGTGGTTCTAATTTCAAACCTTCATATTATCTTTAAGATTTTTCCTCAGTAATTCTATAAAATATCAGCTCTGTGAGACTCTCTGTCTCATTCATGAATTTTCCTTCTGAGAATATTATAGACAATGAGAAGAAGATTTCAAAAGTATTTGGAAGGTAAGTGATATAATTAAGGTTGGTCTTTCAACAGCTGAAGAATTACAACATAGGAATTTAATGCTTAATCGAGGTCAGAATAGGATAATTATGTTCTGGTCTTTGCAATCGCTTGTTATGCATCAGAGAGTTGGACAATGACTAGGGAGGACAGAAGGAGAGTGGATGCTTTTGAGCTGTGGTGTTGGAGAAGGGTACTGAATGTACCATGGACTGCCAGGAAAACAAACAGATTCATCTTGGAGAGGATTAAACCAAGCTACTCCTTGGAGGCAAGGATTCTGGGGCTTCGTCTGACATACTCTGGACATGTTGCCAGGAGGGACGGGTCCTTGGAGAGGGACATCATGCTTGGGAGGTTGGAGGGACGGCGCAGGAGGGGAAGACCCTCTATGAGATGGATTGACTCAGTGACTGGGGTAATCGGGATGGGTGTGTCAGAGGTAGTGCGGTTGGTGCAGGATAGAGCAGGGTTTAGGGCTGTTGTGCATAGGGTCGCTATGAGTCGCAAACGACTCGACGGCACATAACAACAACACAGCAACAACAATACCTCATTTATCCAGCATTATAAATTATATTTCTGGACTTTATATAATCTGAATATTTTACTTAAATAACATCCATAGCCTGTGAACTCACACAGACCTAAGCATAGTCCTTGATGCTATTTAAGCTCTCTTTGCCTCAGTTCATAAATCTAATCTCTTTTTAAAAATGGTAACAAAACAAAAAGGATTGTTTTGAAGAGACAATAAGAGAATATTGGCAAAATATTTTCTGTAGTTTCTGGCACAAAATATGGGTCCAGTAGATGCAATCCCCACAGCAGCAGAACAGTTTTTATTTTCACATCTTTTTGTGAAAACTATTCTGTAAGGCAGTGTTTGGTTGTTTTGGTTTTTTTTTTTCCTATAAGCAGATGTGAGATGATTGGAAATGCAGCATTGAGCTAAGAATGAGCTGTGGGCTGGAAGTCTCTTGGTTTACAGTCAACCAGCACCTAGTGGATGTGCCTTGTTATTTAAATGGCAGTAGATACAGGAGTGTCATCTACTTCCTAAATAACATGCCTCCAGAATCCCAAGAACCTTGATAAATGTTGATATTTGTAGACGAGCTCCAAGCCTTTTGTTCATGGGGTTGCTATGAGTCATGCTCGACAAGAAGGCAACCAACAACAGCACCCGAGTCAGTCTGCAGTTTGGAGGCTCCTGTGAAGTGGTTGGATTTTGGAAAATGGGTTCTTGTGTCTTGATGAGGGTGGGTATGGAATGCTTGGTTATTTTCTTTTGAGATGAACATTCTTCTAAGTGGTACAGCAGTGGTCTATTTGTTGTACTGAGGTAACTTGGAGTTGCTGTGATGCCAAACACTGAGCCCATAGATGTGTTGAATGCCATAATGGTTACCCACATGGACAGTGTTTGGTGGAGCTTTCAAATTGATTCAAGTTTGGAAGCAGGAGTGGCATCCACTTTCTAAACCACATGCCTCAGGAAACCCTGTGACCCTAGAGAAAGGTGATAATTATAGAACAGGGTTCAAGTCTTTTGTTCATAGGGTCACTATGAGTCATACTTGACTCAGTTACACTTAACAACAAAAACATTCTATGCAAAGAAGACTTTTCCCTCAGGATTAAAGCAAAATTCATTTCTGCCCCACTTGCTGAAACTGTTAGGGTCTTGAAGCACCTGTTGGTGAAGATAATCACTGTAGCACCTTCAGTGTGGATTGCACCTCAACATACAGAAAACATAAAT